CTCTCCTATTCGGCGCGCTCCCCCATCGAACGTGAGCTCGCAGGGCCATTGGGCAGAGTCGGCGGCGGGGAGCGGGGAGTCCCCGACAGTGATATCCTCGCCCGCGTCCATATCCCTGCCGGCTCTGAGCACAAGGGTGTGCTGGTCACAGAGTCTGCAATAAGCTTTGGTCCAGAGGGCGATGGGGTCCCTGTCTGTCCTGGGGCGTGGGAACCAGCCCACCCCAGGGGGGCGCCCCGGGGTCGCAAGTTTGGAGAACGGCGAGCCTATCCCCACTACGTGTGGCTCTCGTTGTGATAGGGAGGCGTCGGATTTCCCCTCCGGCGCGCGGTGCTTGTCTGCCGAGATGTGGACTGGCGGCCCCGCGCATGCGCAGTAGGTGTGGCCCTTGCGGAGATTGCAAAGCTGACAGGGGTCGAGCATAGGGGCCCAGACCTCGGTTTCATCTGCCGGGGCGAGTGGAGGCTGCCCTTCGTGCAGGTCATCGCCCTCTTCGTCGTCTTCCTGGAGATCGGAGTCGGGCGCAGCGATGCCCTGGATGATGAGCCTGGCGGCTTCGTCGGCGCCAAGAGGAGTGCAGTCTAGGTTCACACAGTACCTGAAGGAGATCTGGTGTAATAGGCGGCAAACTAGCCTCTGGTGTTGCCCCCTAGTGCACATCGCCGTAGCAAGGTCCCTGGGGTGGTCCGGGCCTCTAGCTTTTTCCCAAGCAAGGGCAGCCGCGGGGCACCAGCACCATACGTGCTCGGTGGTGGCTTCCCCAAGGCCACAGAGAGGGCAGGCTCCGTAAAGTCCTTGCCGCATGAGGACGCTAATGCTGGCGGGGTGCCTTCTTCGCTCTGCAGCGAGTGGGCGTAGATCTTCGGGGAGGGCGTCGTCGTTCAGGAGAGGCCAGAGGGCGGCCTCACCACTCCAAGGCCCGAGGCAGGAGTCACACCAGGCCTGTCCGTCATCTCGTTGGCCGGCCGTGAGCCAAACTCTTGGCCGGCCTGCCGCAGCTGCATTGGTGGGAGATCTGCCACGCTTCGCCGGCGCGCAGACCCGGGTAGCCCGTTGGCCAGGAGTCGGAGGACGTGGTGCGCCTCTGTAAAGGATGCACAGTGTCCCAGGAGCGACCATTCCGCACCGTCAGTCTGTGCCCACTTGCGCTCGTCGCTGGTTGTGGTGAACCACCCGTTGACGACGTGCCCGCGAAGCTGCGTCCAGGCCGCGACATAGACCACACGCCCAAAGTAGCGAGCCCGCAGTCGGGGGGGCTCTCTCAACGCACGATTGATTAAGTCAGCAGCCCTGGAGTCGGCCAGTACCTTGGAGCCGGGTCTGTGGGGTTCATGCCGCGGGGAAAATTCCCGAGCCCATTTCACGAGTTTGTTCCACCTTCTCCCCGCCTTGTGCCGCGACTGTGGCGGGCCCCACAGGTCGTCCAGGGCGCGCGCCCTGGCCGCGATGGCACGCGAGGTGGCGACCGGGCACTTGGGGCAGCCGGGAACCTGGAAGCGGATGCCCAGGCCCGTGAGAACGTTGTCGGGAATCCAGGAAGCGGATGCAAGGCCGAGAGCGACCCTAAGGTGGGCCCGGAGCGTCCTCTCATGAACGGTGTCGGGAAGGGAGTAGCGCGAGGGGTAGGGGATGAGCGCAATGAGATAAGTGTTCCAAGCAAGGGCGGTCTTGGTGGGAGACATATTGGCGAGGTGCAAGGCCATGGCACGGTCCCGGGGCTTGGGGGGAGATTTGCCCCAAGTGCCGGCGACGAGGGCGTCGAGCTGCCCTCTGGTCATTGCGCCCCGGGGCGGCAGGATCTCTCCTTAATTCGGCGGCCCGAGATGCGATGCAGGCGCCGAGGTAGGGCCACCGGGGGCGCGCAGCGGAGGAGCCGAAAGGAGTATGGTCCAAGGCACGTCTCCACCAACCGTGATCGCTGGCTGGAACCAGCGCCGTTTTGAAGTTGCACCTGCAGGGGCAGCTCCCTGGAGTGCACAGCGCAGCGCTGTCAGGCCCACAGGTCCGCTTGATCATTTCCAGGATAAGTGCCGCCGGAAGGCCCGTGACCGTCGTCGTGCCGTTATCAGTGAAGTCCACGGGGGCAGTGGCAAGATGTTGCCTGACGTCGATTCCGGATGGCGCCTCGATTCCCTTGCACTTGTGGGCCTCAACCAAGAGCCCTGCCGTCCTTGCAAGCCAGGGCGACGCAATGCCGGCACGGAGTGTTTGGGCAGTGGCGCCTAGAAGGGCGGCCAGGTCGTCCACGTACGTCGGGTCGTCCGCCCCAGTGATGTTGGCAAGGGCGCTGATGAGAGGGTCGTAACCCAAGCACCAGAGGAGCGGGGAGGCGGTGCCTCCCATTCCGATGGATCGGAGGAGTCTCCTTATCCTGCTCTTGTAATTCCCTTTGCAGGTACGCACGCTCCTGCTGCTGACCAGGGCGTCCACAGAGTGTAGGAGCCAGCTGGGGAGTTGCCAACGCTTCGTCAGCTGCCCCATCCATTGCAGGGACATGCGCTCAAAGGCCTTGTTCTGGTCGCAGAAGAGGACGGCAGTGCTGGGAGCAGGGCCCAAGTCTCTTGTAGCGCACTGTATGTATTGGTCCACGGCCTCTTGGTGCTCGCCAAGCAGGGCCTCCCACGATGGCCCGGGTTCGGTGTCAGCCATCGGATCCAGGGCGAGGTGGTTAGTGGCGGATGTGATATTGGGACCACACTGCCCCCCGCGCTTGGCCGCTTGATTAGGGCTGAGCCTGGGTTCGATCACGGGGCCGAGGTGGTCGGCTATGGTTGCACCATGCAGTCTCCGTAGGCAGGTGGGGAGCTGTAAGGGTCGCATATCGTTGGCCAGCTCCGCGGCTGCCTTTTTGCCGATCCAAACCATAAGATCGATGGAGGGGCCTAGGACCAAGTCGATAAGTTCTGGGTTCAGATCCGCGGCGTACCAGGCTTGGGCGAGCAGGCCGGCAACGAAGCGGGCCCCAGGATGGTACAGTTCGCACGGTTCTCCATCCACTCCAGGAGCGCTGCCGCTTGGACCCAGGACGAGGGAGGCAATCCTGCCCCACTGCGGGTTGGGGGAATCCGGGAACTGCCCAAGATCCTTGTGTCTGAAGTACTCGTCGAGGATACGGTCCGCAGCTGGGGGAAGGGGGGGAGCGGTTGGTGGGGATACGCGAAGCGTCAACAATTGTATATGGTCTGGCTGCTGAGACCCCTGACTCCAAATCCGCCCTACTTTGGCTTTTTCCCCAACTTAAAATTGCGTCGGAAATCCACTTATAAGAAGCCGAAAAAGTAGGGCGGAAATTTCTGCACCCAACATAAAGTGGAGCGGAAATCCACAGAAGTAGGGCGGAAACGGCAGCAGAAAAGTAGGGTGGAACTTGGCATCAGCGGGGCTTGAAAAGTAAGGCGGAAATTCCAAGCCCTACCTACGACTTTCCCCAAAGTAGGGCGGATCCGGAGTCAGGGACTGCAGGTTCTGTGCGCGGCGGGAGCGAGGGGCTTTGCGGTGCCCACTTCGGCTCCGCAGCCGCGAGGCTCGAGCCACAGGGCTGTGCCCGTCGGCCGCCTGGCGCGCCCCGGCCTCGAGGCAGTGGACGAGGCACGGGGCCTCGACCGCGTGGCGACGGAGGCGACGTTGGCGAAGTTAGCCGAGGGGGCCCGTGCTACCTACCAGGCCGGATGGAGGAGCTGGCTGCTATGGAGGTAGCTGAAGGACAACAGCCCGCACCTGCAGGGGGAGACGCGAGAGGAGAGGCTGGCCGATGAGGACGACTTGATACGCTACGTGGTGTTCCTGTACGACGCACCATCCGTCAGAAGCTGTTTGCCATGCGTTGGCCGGGTTTGGGGGCGTCACCGCGGACCGTCGGCGTCTGTGGACCACGATGGAGGGCTTACGACGCTGGGGTGGCAAGGTGAGGCGGAAGCTGCCCGCAACCCCGCGGATGCTGATGTGGCTTAAAGAATACTTCTTCAGCCCTGGGGCCGAGCCTCGAGCCGAGGCTGCGGTCCTCTGGTGGGGGGCCCTGGTGACCGGATACTTACTCATGCTGAGAGCGTCGGAGTACTTGGTGCAGCCCGACAAGTCCTGGAGCCTGGACCGCGTCGTACATGGCATCGACATCCAGGGCCTACGGAACGGATCCTCGGAGGGGTGGCCGGGCAGCTGCGACGAGATCGCACTGACGATCGCGTCCACCAAGACGGACCAATGCGACGCGGGATGTCACCGCAACCACTTCCGCTCGGAGCGCCCGCTGTGCGTGCTGAGCGCGCTGGCTGAGCTGCACCGTGAGTACCCTCAACGGTTTGAGCGCGGCCTCGAACCGGGCCTCCCCTTTTTCGGCACGCGAGTGGCCGTGCAGTGACGCGAGGCGAGGTGCAGGGGCCACTGCGGCTGGCCACGCCGGCGCGCGGGGCAGGAGGGGGCCAAACTGGGGTCGCGCCTCCTCCGCATGGGGGGAGCGACGGCCCTCTGCCGCGCCCGCCCGCGACTTGGAAGCGGTCGAGCGCTTCGGTCGCTGGACGACGGGCGCCCTCCACGGCTATCTGTGGGAGGACCAACCGAAACAACAGTCCTTCGCAGAGGGCATGGCTCAAAGCCGCGCTCTCCTGGCACCCGACGCGAGGGGCGTAGCCGACCTCGGTGAACGCAGCGTGGAGCGTGGGGAGGCGGAGCGTAGGGAGGACGACGACTTCCCGTGCCCGTCCGCCCGGTCGTCGTTGGCACCCGGTCGTCCGCCTTGGGCAAGGCCAGGCCGGCGTTGTGGCATGTGCATCGACGGCGAGTCGCACGTAGTAGCGTCGTTGTCGTGCCCGATCGAGTCGCAAAGTATTCCGTCGTCATCGTCAACTACGGGGGAGAGTGGGCAGCACGTGGTCGTCCTCAGTCGTGTCGGTCCCGCAGACACCCCGGAGTCGGACAACAAGTCGTGGAGCGTCGGGTCCAGGTGCGGAGGGATACAAGTGGTGCTATCGCCAACTCCGTCGCCCTCATCCTCTGCTTCCCCAATGCACGCCGTGCCGCAGCCGTTTCGGGCTCGCGAGGACACGGGCGACCGGCCCGAGGCGAGCCCGGTCCAGTCGGGCGGAGCCGCGGCGATGGTCGCCATCGCGGCAGTGACGCCAGTGGCTCTGGCAGGAGGCAGCCTGGGCAGCCACGACAAGATGATCGCGCAGGTGGCCGCAGTGGGGGTACTGGTGGTGGCCGGGGAGACGCGCGAGCTGCTCCCCTACGCGCATGTGCTGCTGCAGGAGCTGCTCGGGGAGAACATGGACATCAAGCACGACCTGGTGGAGCTGGGCGACCCGGATCGCGAGCTGGCGCCGCGTGCGGGGCGAGCCGCTCGCCCGTGTGGCAGCCGGCGGGCCCGAGGACTGTGGGGCCTGCTACCTCGTGGACGGGAACCACGCGATACGGGCGGCGTGGTTCGCGGGCAACGGCAAGGAGCAGAGGAGGTCGGCGAAGCTGGCGCTAGCCGTAGGGCTGTTCACGGGCGCGGATCTGGGCTCCCGCCGTCGCATGTTGAAGCGCAACCCCCGGCCTGTGGGAGCTGGAGGCCAGCTTCAACCCCGAGGTCGTGGACGACATCAGCCCAGACGGCCCCTTCGAGCGGGGCGCAGAGGAGGAGGAGGAGGAGGAGGAGGAGGAGGAGGAGGAGGAGGAGGAGGAGGCGAGCAACCCAGTCGACGCGAAGTTGGCGCGGGCAGTGGCGCAGGCGGGTCCCCAGAACGCCCTGGGCCCTGGCGCCACTCCGCTTGCCGAGGACGGCGAGCCCAGCGCCGGCCCAGCAGAGGGCGGGCGAGGCCACAGGGGCTGGCCGCGGCGGAGGAGAGGGCGGGGGCCCCGGCCAGCAGGGCGCCCGAGGTGGCCCCGCCGCGCGAGGCCCGCGAGGCCAGCCGTCGCGCTCCGAGGCGCGCGCCGCGGGAGGCGCGCAGGTGGGGGCCAGGGGACAGGAGGAGCCGTGGCGGCGTGGAGGTTCCCCCCCCGCCGGAGGCCCAGGCGCGAGAGCACCCAGGCGCGATCGCCCCGAGGAGGAGATGGCGGCCTGCCGCGCGGGCACGACGGGCGAAGCCAGGCCGCTGTCCCGCGCCCGCAGCCGGTGTCGGAGGAGTGCCAGCGCGAGCTCGGGGGAGCCAGCGATCAGGCCGCCCCGGGTCCCGGGCAAGGTCAGGATGGGCAGCCTCGGGGAGTTGTTCACGTCCTGCGGGGCGGTGGTCCACGCGGCGTTCGTCTACGATGCGCGGTGGAAGAGGGAGCCCATGGTGCAGCGCGAGCTCGAGCTCCACGAGGACGCGCAGCGCGCGTTGGGAGCGCTGCGCACGGGGTGCCGCTTCTTCGAGAGTGACGACTAGCAGGTCGTGGCGCAGTGGGCTTCGGAACCGCCCGCGGCGGGTGCAAGCTCGGACGGTGAGGGGGAGACGGTGCCGGAGTACCCGGACTGCGAGTCGCGCGGGAAGCCGATGCGCTGGAGCACATACCGGTGCCTGGGGCTGGACTGGATCTGCACCCAGCATGGGGCCGCCCGACTGCAAAGGGCGCGAGGCGAACGCCGGGACGCTGCGGTGGTACTGCAAGAGCTGCGACCTCTCGCTGTGCAACTACTGCAAGCTCACGGCGGAGGAAGCGGCGGCGCGGGCCCAGCCGGGCGACTCCAGCCAGGATGGCGAGGAAGAGGACGAGGAGGAGAGCAAGGCCAGCGAGGAGGAGGAGGAGGCCGTGGACGACATCGGCCCAGACGGCCCCTTCGAGCGGGGCGCAGAGGAGGAGGAGGAGGAGGAGGAGGACGAGGAGGAGGACGAGGAGGAGAGCAAGAAGCCGCTGCGCGCGAAGCAGGAGGCCAGCGAGGACGGGCAGCCAGCGGTGGCCCCAGACTGGCCCCCGGCATCTGGTCCCCGCGCGAGCGGGACGACCGCGTGGCGCGGTCCCCGCGGAGGCGCAGCCGCTCCATCCCCCGCCAGCGGCCGACACCCAAGGGCTGCAAGAGGAAGCCCGACGGGTCGTTCAACGCACCGCGCGGTGGCAAGCGCGTGCAGGCGAGCCGCAGGGCAGCTGCCAAGGGCAGCAAGGGGGTCGATGGCGAAGGCAAGCAGAGGAGCGGCAAGGCGAAGGAGGGCAAGAGCTCCCGGCACCTGCGAGGGAGGAGCTCAGCAGACGGGCGGCGCTGAGCTGCCAACGTCCCCGGCGTGGCGAGGGGTTAGGCCACTAGGAGCGCTGGGGTAGTGTGGGGCCAGGTCCCCCTTCCCAGCCCAAGCTTGGCCAGGGTTCCGAGGCTTGGGCCGCGTGGAGCGCGGCATCGCAATTCGCTGAAGGGGGCATGCACTTGTCCACTTCGGGCATTTTGCTATATTTTGCTCTTTGCGCCTCTGGCGCCACTTCTGCGTGTGCAACGCAGCGCCCCACCCCCTCTCCCCCGTGCGCCTAGTCCCGCGTCTGTCAGGCGTCGGACACTGCCCCCCGCACCTCCTGGGGCGGTGACCCGGGCAACGGGCTGCCCCTGGACTCGCCTCCCTCAGGCGCCGGACGCGGCCCCAGCTTGGGGGCCGCGAGCCGGGAAATGGCTGGCACTGGACACCCGGGGCCCCGAGGAGGAGCCCAACGACTCCTCCTGAGCGCCCGCGTCCTGGGCGCCCGCGTCATGGGCGGCCACGCGGCCGCCAACCTGGGCCTCTTGCCTTTTCCGTGCCTTGCTTCTTACTCGGTGCGCAGCGCCGCCTTCGCACACGGCAGCACGGCGGCTGCCACGCGTCGGCGAGCTCGCCGAAGCGGCCCAGCGTTCGCCCCGGGAGGCCACGCTTTTGCAGGCAAGCGGCCACTTCTTTTGGCTGCGCTGTTGGTTTTGCTTTGATGGTGGCCGATGGGCCAGCGAGCGTGCCGGAAAGGCGCGCAGCCTCGTGCTGCGCGCCGTGCCAGCGCGAGCCCCGCAGGGGCTCGCGCTGAGGAGTGGGCGCGTGGCCGCCTTGCCACAAAACCATCATCCTTGTCCTTCTCCCGTCGCGGTCTCCTTCCCTCTCTCCCCCTCCCAAGGGTGTTAATGTACGCGTGCCTGCGCGTAACCCATCACCGCATGCCGGCGTCCTCGCCGTGCGCGAACAGGGTCCTGGGGCCCTCGTAGCATCGATCCGGCTCGAGAGCTGCCGCGGAGAGAATCTGGGGGTCTAGAGCCCCAGTGCCGGGACCGTTCGCGCCGCTTTGTGGCTGCTTTCCGTGGCGGGGCTGCAGGGAAGGGGCGGGAGGAGAAGGAGGGAGGACAGGGAGGCTCTCTTGGGCCCTCCACGGGCTGTCTTGGGGCCCTGTCGGGAGCCGCTCGGGCCGTGCCCGGAGGAGCTCGAAAGTCCCCAGAACAGTCTTGAGCCCCGTTGTTAGCTCGAAAAGGCGGAAGCCGGAAAATCAGTCAGAAACCTCGCAAGCAAATCTATGATTTTGTCTTGGGGGCCGCTTAGGTGCCCTCTTGAAGCGTTTTGGAGTTCTCTTGGGCCTATTTGACGCCATCTTGGCCGTCTTCGAGCGCAATTTACCCATCTCGGGGCATTCTTCGTCCGTTCTGGCGGTTTCTTGCGCCGTCTTGCTTCCCTTTTCGGGCCCTCTCGGAGGCCCCCTTGGGGGGGTGCAAAACGACCACTCGATGTTCCCGAGGTGGGCGGGGCCCTAGGATCTACTTGTTTTCCATACGCGCATTTTCCACTCCATGCATTGCATCACGTAGCTCGCATCCCATGAACTGATCTCAGACAATGCACATCGAAAATGCCACATAGACGGACTGCACCACAGACGCTGGAAATCGAGTGCAGCAACCAGCAACCGCTGTTTAGGCGTCCTTTCGGGAACATATTCGGCAACGCGCGGCCCCAAAAGCATTCGGCTTTTTCGCCCAATCTTGACGTCCCGGGGGGACCCCTGGAGGCCGAAATCGCAAAAGGAATGCCGACACCACGGAAAATGGCAACGCCACAAGCCCGGACTGGGGGCGTCTGGGCCTGCTCATCCGCTGTTTTAGGGACCTCCTCCAGCTCCGGCATGTGCGGGGGCAATTGCGGCTCGGCGGCCTCGCGACAGGAGGGGGGGGGGCGCGCAGAAGTACCTGGCCAGGGCAGGGCCGGAAGAAGAGGATGAGAGAGGACGGGGGGGGATGAGGAGGATGAGGAGGAGGAGGAGGAGGAGGAGGAGGAGGAGGAGGAGGACCAGTGCAAATCCAAAGCGCATCAACGATGTTGCAATAAAGCGTCCATCAACGATGTTGCAATCAACCAGCTATCCAAGTTCACTCTTCACGTCCCTGCAATAATATATATATATATATATATATATACTGCTGGAAGTACCCCGTTGGAGGACAGCTGTCTGTCTGAGACTCCTCAACCCTATCAGAACACCACTCTCTGGACTTCAACGCCGCTGTTGCCATCGTTGGGCGGATTTGGAAACCTCTCGAAATATCTCGTGTTCACCTCGGCTACTCTTTCTTCCTCCTCCGCTTCCTCTGGAAACGCACCATCCTACGACTCCAGCGGGGGCGTAAATGTAGACGACGATATGCGTTTGTAGACGACGGTTCGCCATCATTCGTCTTTCGCGCCCTTCCTTCTCCTCTCTTCTTACGGATAATGCTCAGCATCCCCGTCCCCGCAGGAATGCCCCCTCGCCCTCCTCATGCCACTCCTCCTCCTCCTCCTCCTCTTCCTCCTCCTTCTCCTGTTCCTCCTCCTCCTCCTCCTCCTCTTCCTGCTCCTCCTTCTCCTCATTCTCGTCATCCTCCTCCTCCTCCTCCTCCTCCTCCTTCTCCTCTTCTTTGGGGGATCTCTGTGACGCATATTGGTGTCTCGAGTGTGTCCCCGATATCCGGATGAATATCACCAGAAAACCTCTCTGGGAACATCGTGTCGGGTGTGGAGACGTGGCCACTTAGAAGCTTGTTGGGGTCTCTTGGGAGGCCTCTCGGCAGCCTTTTGGGAAGCATGTCGGGGGTCTCTGGGGGCCTCTAAGGGGCCTCCGGAAGCATCTGGGTAGCGCTTTGGAGGCTTCTTGGCGGCCGCTTGGGGGTCATCTGGAGGTGTGGTCGTTTCGGAGTTCCTTTCGAGGGTGTCTTGAGGGCGTCTGGGGCTCTCTTGAGGCGCCTGGTGGGCTGCCTTGGGGTGCTCTTCGGCTGTCTTGGGCGCTCCCATGGGCGTCTTTGGTCCCTCGCGGGTCCTCTTGGGGGGGTCTTGCGGCCCTCTTGGGCCGTCTTGGGCGCCTCTTCGGCAGTCCTGAAGACCTCTTGGGCTGTCTTGGGGCCCTTTTGAGCGCCCTCTTGTAGCGATCGGGGTGCCTCTTGGGCCGTCTTGGACACCGCGAAAATGAATGAAACGCAGATGGTTAACATTATATATTTTCCTCTGGGATTGGGGCAATGTTTGGCTCTGTGGTGCCCTCTTGGGGTGCTCTTGGGGCTCTCTTGAGGCGTCTCGGGGGCCTCTGATGCCGTCTTCGGTAAATCATGGGGGTCTTGGGGGTCTCATGGCGTCGCTTCAAGCACGCCTGCGGCTAGCTTCACCCACCTTCAGGCTGAAATATCTGTCCTGGATGCCCAAAACGGCCCTGGCACCACCCCAGGAGCCGAATTCGGTTACGGGGGTGGGGGGGGGGAGGTTGGAAGAAGTGTGCGACCCCGTGCCCTAGGCCCTCGGACGCCGCTTATATATATATATATATATATAGATAGATAGATAGATAGATAGATAGATAGATAGATAGATAGATAGATAGATAGATAGATAGATAGATAGATAGATATAGAGATATTCCTAATTATTTATTTTTACAGGGCAGGGGACCCCGGAAAAACGGCACACGGTGCCCCCCCCTCCCCCCCAAACGAATGTCGGCCTCCCCGAGCCTTTGGGGCGCTTCTGCAGAGTGCTCCGTGTCTGTCCTGCGAGTGCGACGCGGACAAAAAAAACCCACGACGGCCAAACAAGACCCCGAGACACCCAAAGATCGGCCCAAGACGCCCAATCTGGGCCCAAGACTGCCCAAGACGCGTCCAAGACGCCCCCAGAGACCCCCACGAGGCCTCCCAAAAGAGCCCCGAGAGGCTATAATTGTTGATTTTCCTATGGGTTTTCGAAGTTTTTGGCCTTCTCGCTTTTCCCGCATCCCGACGCTCCACAATGGCCCCAAAGGCTCCCTCGATCGCCCCACTACTGCCCAAGAGGCCCCCACGAAGGCCCCAACACAGTCCAGGAGGGCTCCGAGACCGCCCAAGAGGCGCCCAAGACGGATCAAAAGAGCACCAAAACGGCCCCAAGAGAGACCCAAGAGGGCGCCCAGAAGCTCAAAACCTAAATTTTCCGCCGCGAGAGGGCCCCAAGACGCCCGGAGAGAGCCCCATGAGGCCCCAAGAGGCTCCCACGAGGCCCCAAGGAGCCCCCAAGAGGGTCCCCAGAGGCCCCAAAAAGATCCCAAGAACTCCAAAACACCCCCAAGAGGCTTCAACACTGCCTCCGAGAGGGCCCCGAGAGGCGCACCACGAGATCCCCACGCAGCGGTCTCCCCCTCTCATTATCCCTTCTCTTTCTCGTCGCCTTCTTCGTCGTCGTCGATGTCGTATCACATGGCGCAGCGAAGCCATTTTTCCTTCAAACCACCGAAGAACCCAAGAGCTCCTCCTCCCATTCCTCATTATGTTCCTCCTCTACCTCTTCCTCCTCTTCATCCTCCTCCTCTTCCTCCTCCTCCTTCTCCTCGTCCTCTTCATGCTCCTCCTCCCGCCTCGACTCAGCTTCTCGCAACACTCAATACAAACCGTCGGGGCCACGCCAGCATCTCATCCGGACGCGCTGTTGGGAACCGGGTTTTTTGTGACATTTCGAAGATCAGGCCGTCGGGAACCTTCGGTTTCATCACACAGCCTGGGGAAACATTCTCCGGGGACTCACGGCCGCACGAACACTTGCGAAGTCCTCCTCCTAGGACAACCAGTCTTCCTCGCTCTCCCACCACTGTTTTGATGATTCCTTCCGCAACCATTTCGGCTGCATCCCTCATTTTCTTAGACTGAACGATGCATCCCGGAAAAGCGGATTCGTTCGTTTGCGCTTCCTGCGCTGAGTGTCTACCTCGGCACGCTTTCTCCAACACCCAGCTGGACAAACCGCCTAGCGTACGAGCTTGCACTCAGTGCGTTCTTCAGGCTACCGCATCTGCCAACCCACCAATACCATTCCTACTGTGCTCCAGGTGTGGAGAACACAGGCCACAATCTGATTACCTCACAGACGCCGTACACCGCACAAGCCGAGCATGTACCACATGCCGCGCCCCGCCCGAAGCGCGGACGTTCTTATGCTCGGGTTGCGGGGAGCACAGGCCACGATCTCATTATGTGAAACGCGAAGTACGCCGCACAACCCGACTGTGTATCACATGTCGCCCGATTCCCGCCACGAAGACCTTCGTCTGTTTCGGGCGCGGAGAGGCGAAGCCGAAATCTGACTACATGCCCGACGCTGTCCACCGCAACACCCGCAAATGCGCCACATGCCGTGCACCGCCCGACGTCCAAGCTATACTTTTGGGGCCTCGCTCCCGAGTTTGTGACTATTGTGGAACGGCTACGCACACTGCAGAAAGCGTTGGGTTTTGCTGTCAAATGGGGAAGCACGCCATCAACTTCGACACGTACTTTCGCCGGCCAGACCACGCCATGCAGGAGATATTTCGGACACCCGCGTTCAGTGGCTCCTCGCGTGCTTACAACAATCTCTTCGCACTGACTGTCCACGACATACAGTCTAGCTCGTCAGAACGGGAAACGTATTTCTCCCCGCGCAAGCCTTTCTTCATGCAAATCCATGGTACCATGTACTGGAAAACGTGGACACTCGACGCTGAGAGCGCCGTGCGGTACATCGTCGTCGACCCTCAGCTCCGCTCCCAAACGGCAGCGCGGTTCCAGCTCGAACCCCGCATTGTCAAAGAGTTGGAACGTATGATCCTTCCCAATAACCCGTACATGAAAGCGATCACCAAACTGGCCATTCCACGTCGCGGTATTCAGGATGTCCCTTTACGGCTCGATTGGGATGAAGGTATCCAGGAAGTGGCTGCCATTTGGGACGCCAGCTCGGGAGCAACGGCATGCCCGCGATCGGTTACTTCTGGACAACCAAAGCTGGTCACTACGATTACCTCCCGCCTTTGAGCGAAATGTACGGGCCACTATCGCACCCTCTTTGGTTCCCGCGCGGCGGTCGGGGCTGGGCGCCAGACTTGAACACCCCCGCCCACGGCAAAATCACTCAATTGTGGTGGTGCCGGCAGCAAGCTTTACGTTTCTCCCACATGCACATGAGCGGGCGCCTCTTCAACGAATGGGCCATCAACATGTACTGCCGCATGGGGGACGAGCGCTTGCAACACGTCAAGGCACTGCAACGCACGTCTCTCGCACAACGTCAACACCTTTGCGAAGTACTGCGCAATGATCCTGGGCAGCCGCGCTCCGCTGACCGAGCGGCTCAAAAGTACTACTTGCCCTCCGCCGTTCTGGGATCTCCTCGCAACCTTCGACGTTCACGGGTCGACGCTCTGGAAACAGCCCGCCGACTGGGACCGCCCACTTGGTTCATCGCGCTCACCACGTCCACCCAGCGGCCTGAGATACAACAGGAACTCCGAGAAGGCCAAACGCACGCTGACCGACCCGACGTTGACACGAGGGTCTTCCACGCCAAGCTCTTGATCATGATGTCTGTCCTCCAGAAAGAATTCTGCGGCACGTCCAAATACATCATGCGTGTCATCGAATACCAGAAGCGCGGACTACCTCATGCCCACGTCGTCATCGGCTGCAAGGACCCACCGACCACCGCGGCGGAAGTTGACGAATACATCTCTTGCGAGCTTCCTGAGCAGCCCGGCGTGCTTCGCGACCTCGTGCTCAGCCACATGGTTCACAAATGCAACCTCGGGTGCCACCCCGCAGACCCTGCTGATCCTTGCAACAAGGGCTGCCCATGGCCGCTCCGAGAAGAGACTGAATTTGACGGCCGCGGGTACCCTTTGCACA